TATTAAAAAATAAATAATTAAATATTTTCTCTATCATCAGAATAAGAGCTTCGATTTACCTACGGTAAATAATAATATGTATGTTACCCGTATGGAATGTATGATCAATTGGTAAATCAATTTTAGTAGGTATCAAAAATAAATATGCTTATTTCTACAAAAATGTAAGAATACCTATAGGTTTATTTATATATAACTATATAAGTATACATACTTTGTAAAACTATAAAGAAATATTCTGTTCGTATTGTTCGTAATATTAGGTTCAGTCATAGCATACATAGAATAAAAATAAATGTTAGAAACATGATTTTTATTTATATTGTATTATATTTAATTACGTTTAAGAAAAAAAAATACGTCTAACTACGTCCGTATTTATAGGTATGKAAATATTGCTTGATAAGTAATTTATTGCTCGAAAAAATATGATGAATTTTAATTTCCTGATTATTTTGTTTACTGCTATATACCTACTATCCAAATGAATTTTTTTAAATATTTTTAAGAATATATTTATTGGTTTAAACTCATATTAATTTATCAAAAATACAAATAATAAAGTGTAAACTAAACACATAATATTAACTAATGTAGTTTAAGTTAGCAAATAATTAAAATCGGTGAGCAAATGGGAACTATTCTGCTGTACAGTAGACGTCGGTAATTTGAATTCAATATGGTGTTTAAAACGACTAAGTGAAGATGGCCTATCAGTCTATAATAACATTTACCAAGTGTATATTTTATAATATGATTACTATTGAAGTAATTTATTTTTACCATTATTAGTACAGTAGGTTAGTTTACCAACAATCTACACTGTGTCTAGCTAATATATGTAGGTATAAAATATAATAAGAAACTTAAACAGTTTCATGTATCTACCCTTGAATAATATTTATACATYACAATAAAATAACTAAAGTTGTTATTCTTTGTTTAAATATGTAATTCTGTTCAAATTTAAACTTAAAATATCTATAAAATTAACCGTGTGTATATATTGTTTCCAGTTTTTGCCTTTCAAGAAACAACATTTTTCTTTTTTTGAGTATTAATACATGCAACATAAGTAGGT